CTTAAAGCCGCTCTTTCCTTGCTGCAACTATTTATTTTAGAATCTCTGAAATATGCCACAGATTAACATTTATAGAATAGGAGTGATGCTGGGATGTTTCTGTACCTGCAAAGACCAAACACATCAGTTGAAAGTTGTATGGCATTTGGGGGGGGGGTGAGAGAGTGTGGGTTAGGCATTTGTATATAAAGAAGCGGGCTAGTGCCTCAAATACTTACAGAAGATTGTAAATATAGTTTTGGCTAGTGAAACTTTTTTTCATCCAAATATAAAATCCTAGCTAGAACATTCATGTACATTAGATATAGATGATTATCAAAGCCGTCCGTCAAAATGTTATTTACCCATCCAAGAAAACTGATGTAAATTTAGATTTTGCTAAGGAAGATTAGTGGCATCCTCGAAGAGAGAGGGCTTTGAGTTGGGGTAGGGTCAAAATGACAAAAGCAGCGTTGTGACATTGCAATGCAAGCCCCCTGTCCACTTTGTACATATTTCATGACATCACTATTCTGTCCTTTGATACACTTGCTGAATATAAAGACAGATAGATAACTCTACAAATTCTTCCGTGCAAAGTTTCTTTTATTGGATTATATTGGGTATCCTCAAGGTAACTCACAGTTATGTTGAGATGCATCTAATGTCCAATTCTTTGCATAGTTGAAATTGTAGTGTAAAATGATAGTAATCTTTCTATCCCATATTTCATCCCATAGTGGTAGAAGCAGGGGTAGAGATGCTAGCATGAGGCTAGGTTCAGGCAAGAGTGAAGAAACCTCCCCCAACCCACCAAGGGTCAATTCAGTGACCAATCAGGGTTACAGATGTGTCCACATGACATGAACTACATTTCCCAGGATACCTTAACTACATTTACCATGATGCATTCCCTTAAGGGGACAGCTCCCAATTCCTTACAAACTATCCAATTCCCATTAACTATAACTGGCTGGACAGCACAATCACGCACATGATGACATAACCCTTTGTCATCCAAGCAGACACCAGTGATGTGGCAGTGGCAGCAGTGCTTCTCCAAAGAAATAGCCAAGGAAAAATACAGCTTTGGGCCTTTACCTCCCATAAACTCATGGACACAGACAGGCGATGGGCTGCAATCAGGAGTGGGATTCTACCAGTTTGGGTGAATCAGTAGTTCCAGTGAGCATTTAGATATGAAAATTGGGATTTTTAAACATGGAGCATGTGCGAAGCGGTTGTTACATCGGTTGAATCGCACCACTGGCTGCAGCGCAACCCTTTCATCATTGTAATGAAAAGAGAGAGCACCTGTTGATCCTTACATAATATATAACGAAGTTTTATAAAGTATTCCATTCCACAAGTTTCAGTTTGATACAGACAAGTCTTGTTCCCTCCCCCTCGCCCCCGATACTTTAGAAAAATTGAATATTACGGCTTTGCTCCTCACATTTGTACTTGCAAGCCAAATACTGATGGTATCCCATCCTTTGAGAACCTGTTAGCCAGCAGTATACAGAGAGTATTCATCTGGGCTATATCTATTATTACTTGTTTTGAAAAACTTTTTTATCATTTGCAACCTTATATTCAGTCAGAGAACAAGTTCCATGCCAAAGAGTCCACATCCATGTTAGAATTGAACACTTCTCTCCCTCAATAGAGGGGGAGGATTTCCCCAATTTACAATGCAGTCCTTTTGGCGTTCCAAGAAGATTCCACACCTCTCATTCAAGTGACCCTAAGGACACGGTCATCTAGTCCAACCCAAGTAGGAGAACCTACACCATTTCTGACAAATGGCAGTTCAATCTCTTCTTGAAGGCTTCCAGGGATGAAGCTTCCATAACTTCTGAAGGCAACTTCTGTTAAGACCATAAGATTGCAAAGAAACACAATTCTTCTATTGCCCTCCACTCACATTAGCCTATCAGAACCTATCCTTCCATTCCCCCTCCCCACCATCTACTCTCAGCTGTCAGTATCTGTCTTTCCATCTCCCACACCAACCAGTACAACTGATGAAGCTTCCTGGAATGGATGCGAAATGTCTTTTCTTCCTCACAAAAAAAAAAACAAAAAAAACCCCACTCCAGTTTCCTTTTCACAAAAATACATTTGTGTCAGTCTTCTTATTAACCCAACTCCACTTTGGAAAAATGCAGCTGCATAGTTTATCCTTTTCAGATTCTTCAGGCTTGGAAAATAAAATCCAATTTCTATTTTGGTTACTGTACTTTTTAACGCGTACCGAATTTTGGAATACCTGAACTAGGACTATAAACAAGTATTATCCAATCAACTGTCACTCACAGAACATAATCACGTAAGTAGGCGGGACTCCTGTGTGTGCGACTGGACCTTCGCAGTTCAGCCTCACCAGCAGTGGCGACCTGACTAGTTGGGTCTGTTGTCACTCCAGAACCAGCCCTTTGAACTGCCTCGGGGGTGGGGCTGGATTCCCCACCCCCCAGCTAAGATATTTTATTGATTGATTGATTGATTGATTTGATTTGTCAAGCGGTTATAAGATAACAGGTATAAGTGTAAACATAGTTATGGATACATGAAATGGATACACATAAGAAAAATAAAAAGATATTGATTTAGAGTAAGAGTAAGATGTAATGGTAAAGGAATAAGTAAATTCATATACCGTGTTTCTCATATAATAAGGCCGGGTCTTATTTTTTTTTGAGCCCCGAAAAAATGGCTAGGCCGTCTTTTCGGGGGTGACTTAATTCCCCCCCCCTTGCATCTTTGGGTGGGCGGATGGCGACGGCTTGGATGTTGACCTCAGCATTGGTGGGGCACTTCATATTGGAGTCAACGCAGGCAGCACCATATCCGGGTGTGCAACAAAAGTACTTCCTAACGGCAAGCCCCCCCACCATTTCCCCCCCATTTCACATGTTTTAATATAGGCCTTAATTTGGGGGGAGGGGCTTAATTTCATTTCATGCCTATAAAACATGCTGGGACTTCCTATTGGGGGAGGCCGTATTGTTGGAGAAACAGGGTACTGAAAAATGTGAGGAGATGCAAAAGATGTCTTGATGTTGATAACAATGTATAAAGTTTTATTTTATGTTTTTAAAATTTGGAAACTTAATAAAATTTATTTTTTTAAAAAAACAAAAATAAAAAGAAACAATAGAACAAGGACGGTAGGCGCATTGGCGCGCTTATGCACGCCCCCTACAGACCTCTTAGGAAAGGGGTGAGGTCAATAGTAGACAGTCTAAGGTTAAAGTTTTTGGGGTTTGAGGTCCTGCGGTGTACTCGAGTTTGAGTTCCACCCTAAAGTGGGAAGGCTTGTGTTTTCAGTATTTTTAGTTGTCAGGGTTGGTTTTTCCTCTCTGTGTTGGGTTTCTGTGTCTGAGGCTGTCTGGTCGCTTTGATTCCGGTCCAATTGTCCCCGGAGTTGATCTATGTGTCTGCTCCATATTTTCCCATCTTCTAGTTCTACTCTATAAGATCGGGGGGGGGGGGGGGGGGGGGGCTGTGACATGCACTACTCGTGCAGGGATCCACTGCAGTGAATCACTTGACAACTGTCATAAAATGGGGCAAAACTCACTTAATAAATGACTCAGTTAATAACCGAAATTTTGGGCTTCATTGTGGTTGTAAGTCCAGGACTATCTGTATTTCAGTTATGTAAGCCATGTCACCATTCTATTAAATGTTTGACTTTCTTTGTAAGAGTTCATGCCCATCTTGTTTCCTATACTCTGAACAAAAAAATAGAGTTATACATTAGTTTAAAGTAATGCAACATTACTTCATATAAACTGTTGAAAAAGCATAAGCCAATCCAGTATTTTTTGTCATCATAGAGCAAATTAGGGGGGCGTGCATAAGCGCACCAACGTGCCTACCGTCCCTGTCCTATTGTTTCTTTTTATTTTTCTTATATGTACCCATTTCATGTATTCAAAACTATGTGTATACTTATACCTATTATCTTGTAAGCGATTGACAAATCAAAATAAATAATAAATAAATAATAAACTGACTAAATTATTAAAATGCTGCATACGCTAATGGACTTGCTTGTAATCCTGAGCTAGGATTTCTTTGCCTACAACTTCAACGTAACTCTATTGTAGGGGGGGGGGAGCAGATTGTACACTTATTTACAATATCGTTTCTTCACATTTCAGCCAAGTAAGAGATTAAACAAAAGTTAAAGATCACGCATGGACCTCAAAATAAGAACATGCTTTTTTTTACACAGAAGGGAAAGTACTGTAATTCTGTCAGGAATGACTTTAATTCTGGCACAATGCATTTTGACCGTGACTTTAATCTGGCACAATGCATTTTGACCGAGCGCTCACAACACAAAAATACGCTGCTCTTGGGCTTTTTTTTTTGGTTCAAATGCTATAATTTACAGAACGCTTAAAGATTCTAATCGTGGGAAAAGGCCGCACGTGGGCAATTTAGAATCACGCTTCCCCCCCCCTTCTGTAATGTGGACTCGCCCACCGCCAAGGCAATTGAAGGGTCACTCCTACGGAAAAGGGCTGCGCAAAATGACAAAGCAGGGGTAGGCCAAATCCCACCGCGCTCCCAACCAATCAACGCTCACTGCAGCATTTTTAACACCCGCCTCGGCTTCCGCAGTGCGCCTTTAAAAGTAGAAGGGGGGGGGGAAGCCTCAGAAAATGGTGAGGCCGTGGCCTTGGTCTGTGAGCGCTCGTTAAAAATTAAAAAGCCGTTTCTGACAACGTGGTCTTAAGACCTGAGCGGGTTTCGCTGCTCGAGGGGGGGGGAAAAGCTAGTTTTATTGTACTAAATAAAAACAAGCAACCTTATGTTTAAACAAGCTGTAGCTCATCCGTTCGTTTTGGGCGACCATGATCCTGAGGGCACTTAACGAAAACTACTCCTCCCAGAAAGCACTTCGCGGTTTTTCCTGTCAACACCGGGAAGGCCCGTCCTGCGGCGCATGCTGGGAAGGATAGTTTTTTTTTTTTTTTAATGGATGTATTCTTTGCACTTCCATTTTCCGAGGTGTATTGGGAGCGCCGCGATTTCGACGTTCAACATGGGGGCGTGTATGTTGCTTTAAAGCCAAAGAAATGGGGAGGGAAATGGACACCCGGTTGTGATTTTTCCCTTGAGCTGTGGACACACACGAGATAAAAGTCCTTAAAGGCAATAGGAAATCTCAGAGGGAGAACTGCTGCTGCTGCTTTGGGTTGTCTGAAGGGACCCTCGCTCAGCACCATGCTGTTTCCCACCTGCGGGCTTTCACGTCAAGGTGAAACGATCTTTTTTTCTGCCTGGGTTTTTCTGCAATAGTGGCAATGGTTTCGGGTTTTGAAAACTTTTCCCTTTGCTGTGGCTTTGGCATTTATTTATTTTTTAATTCAGGGCGATATAACTTCTATTCTTTTATTCTGTTAACGAATATCGTTTAATTAACCTCAAAGCGTTGCAACCAGTTGAAGGGAGGTTTGCTCGGGAGGAAGGGAAAGTTCTCAGTTTGCAGAGCGCAGTTTCTCGACTCCCGCTTGAAAGGCTAGAAATAGAGAACAAAATTCAAAGAATTTTTTTTTCTTCTCTCCAGCAAAGACAGGCAGTTTTTAATTTGTGCTGCCTTCCTTGTTATTATATCTGTGTTGTGGTTCCAGTTTGGTGCAACTGCTGATCCCCAAAATATTCTCTGGAGAAATGCAGAGTTGACAGCTGTCGGTGGAAAAAAGGCAAACTGGTGTGTGTGTGGATAGATAGATAGATAGATAGATAGATAGATAGATAGATAGATAGATAGATAGATAGATAGATAGATAGATAGATAGATAGATAGAGATACACACACACACACACACACACACACACATTAACTAGAAGGGGTGTAAATGTAGATGGGATGCAACTGTAAATGTAGATAAAGTGTGCAAAATGAATAAATATTAAGGTACAAGCCATACTCACACTTGTGAGCATAATCGGGGTTTTGATTCAAGTACCATCAAACAACATGGAAAATAGATAAGAGTTCTGATCTTGGGAGACCTAAATCCATGGGAATAAATAAGATAATTAAGCAATTGGTGAAAAAAAAAGGAGAGCCATCTGGGGATAGGGTTTGGGTGGCCATCAAGGGTTCTCTCCAACCTCAAGTTTCTTTTTTCCTTTCCCCCCCCTATTGGTCAGAAATAAAATTAGGGCAAAGGTTACTGGCTTACACAATGCTGTAATTTTGTTTGAACATAGATCAGTCTTCTTGTGGAACAACATATTAGCAGGTCCTATGCATTCATAATAGTGTAATTATGATGAAGGAGTTGCAAAACAGAAACTTGCATAAAAGGTAATGAATAATGAGATCTGAACATGCTAATGAGAAGAAAGAATCTGGAGCAACTCCCCTATGATAGCCTTTCTGTTCTCGAATTCTTCTGATTCCAGTTCAAACTACTTCATACTATTTGATCTAGTTAAAAGCCTTTTTAGAAATAAGAGCATTGTAGAGTAGGACATACCTAAGCAATAGATATCTAACCAATCACTATCCATTTTTGCCCAACAGCTGAAAACAGAGAACTGGCAATTAGTTCTTGCTTAGCTGCTTTCCAGTTACTCCCGACATAGCCAAGCCAACACAAGCTCAACTTCTTTACAGCAAAGAAAAAGAAGTTGAGGTAGGCAAACTAAAGCTCTCCTCTGATGATAATAGAAATGCCCCTCAGAGTACCGTAGTTATTTTGCCAGTTGCATTTTCTCTTTTTGCCATCCATAAAATAATAAAATATGGTATAGGATCACTTTTGCAAGCTACTAGCTGCATCCTCTGGTAGGGATGGAATGTAGTCATTACTCTTCTAATTACAGAGTTAGGCAAGGTACAATCTGAGGGCTATTTGCAACCCATGAGTTTCTTTGGGACACTTGACAACTGGCATGTTTTTACAATGATTGCAGCATCTCAGAGTCATGTGATTGCCATTTATGACCTTCCCAGCCAGCCAGACAAGCAAAGTCAGTGGTAGAAGGTGGATTTGCTTACTATGTGATTCACTTGACAACTACAGTGATTCACTCAACAGTTAGGGCAAAAAAAGTTGTAAAATCAAGTGTGACTTACCGATTGCCTTACTTTAGCAACATAAATTCCAATCCCAATTGTGGTTTTATGTCAAGGCTTTCCTGTAGTTGTAAACCATCCAGATTCATTTGGAGTTGAATAGCCTATTAAATTTAAATAATTGTTCAAAAATGGCTGCCATAGGTGATATCAACAATTAATCTAACTGCCTCAGTCTTTGGAATACTTGATCCAGGGCTTCTGACAGAAAAGCAACATAAAGCATTCCTATCAAAACAAAAAGTATCAGTCATTACTATTACTAATGTGACTTTATGATGCAGAATCTTTAACTTTGCTTCAAAATATTTTGGAAGTTTCAAGTTTTCTAAATGTATTAACAAATAACACAGATTTCAATCTATGACAAAATACTAAATGAAACAAAGAATGGTACTGCAACCAATCCATGGTACTAGAACAGGGGTGTCAAACTGGCAGCCCACAGGCTAGATCCGTCACGTGCAGGCCATGCTCACCCCAGCTCCATGAAGGAGAAAAACGTTGCAAAATGTCACATGACAGCAATGTGATGCCGTGAGTTTGACACCCGTGTACTAGAAGAAATTCAGAAGTGTTTGTACACATGTGCTGCGTGGTATCTTTAATTTGGAAAACACACTCATTCGGTTGGAAAATACAGCATTCTGCTGCAAAGAAAATTGGCTGAAGCATGAAGAAGGGTGGCAAAACATAGATTCAAACTGATAGAAATAAAACAACAGGCCATAACAAACAAAAATGAAAAAATAGATCAGATGCCATCAGCAAACCCATAGTACCTACAGCCCTATACTGTAACATTGTGAATCATTTACCAGATGCAACTAAAGACCTCAATAACAAATCCAATGGTTCACTGCAATAAGCAACATAAGCAATGCAGCAGTCCTTTTTTTCTTTACAATATACATTTTTAAGAGTATGCTACAATATATGCTATCTAGAAGTCAATTATAGAATAGAAATCAATAAAATTATAGAATGAGATACAAGTTAATTGTTCAGTATGACACCATTGCTTAACCAGCAGTATCAAAAAGTGAGATTGTAAGCTTCTCATACCCATGTGATATTTTGCTATACTAAGTGACCAAGTTGCTTAGGGAGATGCTGGTCCCATTTGTGATTGCCAAAACAAGACTACATGTGTACTTTCTCATACAATAGTGGAGTGTTCAAGCACTTATCCGATCTAAACAACTGTTAAAATAAAATTTGTTTACAAAATAAGTGTTGTTGTCTTACTCCAGCACTTCATCTTCTGTATGCCTTTAAGTCTGCAAGAAAAGACCGTCTTCTACCTTTATATGCAGCAAGATGGACTTCAACAGTTCCTCGTATCACCACTCACTATACCATTCACCCCCGGGAGAAAGACAAACGATGGGAAGGTAAGTGGCAATGTTTAAATAATATACATATTTTTTTTCATAATCAAAGAGTAGCCTATTATTTTGGGTTGTTTTTTTCTATATTTTAATTTTTTATTTTTTTTATAAAATTTTACTGGTTTTTAAAAAAAACATAAACAAACAAAACATAAAAACATCAAATCATCTTCCATATATGTACATACAGTGTGCCGGTTGGTTTACAAATTGTTTTGTGCTTCCATTTCATAGTCTTCAATTATTATTACTTTGTATATAATCTCATATTTTCAATCAATATATTAAATACATTAATATCATTATTAATCATTTGGCTATACTTTTATTCATCCATGTTTTCCAAAATGATCATATTTTACATAATTTGTTTTATAACAATCGTCCCTGATCTATCCTAGAATCATTTTGTAGATATAATTAGAAAAGAATACACCTTTATATTTTTTTTTCTAAAAGTCTACATATTTCATTACTGTATTTTATTGTCTAACCATTGATAGAATAGATCCCAAATTTTATAAAATTGTTTATCATCTTATTCTCTAATTTCAAATGTCAATCTACTCATTTCAGCACATTCCAATATTTTCTTAAAGATTTCCTCCTGTGATGGTATTTTCTCATTTTTCCAGTTTTTAGGAAATACAATCCTAGCCACTGTTAATACATTTACAATCAGGTATTTCAAGTCTTTACTATATATTTCAGATAAAATTCCCAATAAAAATATTTCTGGTTTCAAATCTATATGCTTTTTTGTCATTTTTTCCAACCACGTGTGGATTTTAGCCCAGTATTTTTTAGCATCCGCACAAGTCCACCACATATGGTAATATGAGCAGGTATCTGATGATATTTCCAACATTTTTTGGATTTATTCTTGAAAATTCTTGCTATTCTTGTCGGGGGGAAATGCCACCTGTAAAACATCTTATACAAATTTTCTTTATATGCTGTTGACATTGTCATTTTATAATTTTAAGACCACAATTTTTGCCATTTCTCAATCATTTCTCATATCCAAACTTCTTCCCCCAACAATCATAGTTTCTTTAACTTGTTCTTCTTCTAGTTTAATTTCTAATAAATATCCATACAAATTTTTAACCACCTTTTCATCGGTACCTGTCAAAATCTTATCTAAGTCAGTCAGTTATCATAGAAACCTTCTGTTTTAGAATCTTTATCATACCTTGAATGTATTTGCGCATATGAAAACCAATTCATCTTTATACCTTGTTCCTCTAGTTTTTGTATAGATTTAAGTTCACCCTTTTCATTCAATATTTCACCATATCTAACTGTTTGTTCCTTTTTGTATATTATAGGATAAGAAAATGCTTCAATAGTCGATAGCCAGACTGGAATTTTCAAATAACATTGTCTTTTAATCTTCTCCCAATTTAACCACAGAGACTCCCGTATATAATGTCTTCTAAAGTACCCCTGTGTTTTAGTTCCTTTATACCATAAAAAAGCATGCCACCCCAACAACAGGTCATGTCCTTCTAAAGTCAACAATCTAGTATTTCTTAATGTTATCCATTCCTTAACCCACATCAAATTTGTAGCTTGGTAATACAACTCCCAATTAGGCAAACCAAATCCTCCTCTTATTCTAGCATCTTGCAAAAGTTTAAACTTTATTCTCGCTTTCTTACCTTGCCATATATATTTCAACACAATTTTATTTAAATCTTCAAAGTAGTCTTTTCCAAGCCTAATTGGAATTGTTTGAAACAAATATAAAATTCTGGGTAATATATTCATCTTGATTGTTGATATTCTCCCTATTAATGACAGTTGTAAATTTTCCCATTTCACCAAATCTAGCGCTATCTGCTGTTTAAGTTTAATATAATTATTCTCTTTTAGTGTACTGCACCTTGCTGTCAAGTATATCCCCAAGTACTTATTTGTGACCTGAATTTTCAATAGGTCTGCCAATTCTTCCTTTTGTCTTGATAGCATATTCTTTGTCAAGATCTTTGTCTTATCTTTATTTATTTTCAAACCAGCCACCTTTCCATATGTCTCTATCTTTTCTATCAATTTTGATGCTGTTTCTAGTGAATATTCTATGATAAAAACCAGATCATCTGCAAATGCTTGCAACTTAAATTCTTCCTTTTTAATTTTCATCCCTTTTATATTCTTTTCATCTCCAATATTTCTATTTAGCACTTCCAAAGTTAACATAAACAACAGAGGTGATAGTGGGCACCCTTGTCTTGTTCCTTTTCTTATATCGATAGATTCTGTCAGTTCTCCCTCTATCATTACCTTTGCTGTCTGCTTATGATATATAGCTTCTATTGCTTGAATAAATTTTCTAGCAAAGCCCATCTGTTCCAGCAGTAATAACATGAATCGCCAATTCACATTATCAAATGCCTTCTGTGCATCTAGAAATATCAAAGCCATTTGTTTTTCGGGATGTGCCTCGTAGTATTCCAAAGTGTCCAAGATTACTCTCATATTGTCTTTGATTTGTCTCTTTGGCAGAAATCCATTTTGGTCAGGATGGATAAAATTGTTTAAATATTTTTTAAGTCTTTCTGCCAATATTGAAGAAAATATTTTATAATCTGCGTTTAGTAGGGAAATAGGTCTATAGTTCTTAATTTGTAATGGATCGGTCTCCTCTTTTGGAACAAGTGTGATATAAGCTTTTGACCATGATTTAGGTATCCTCTTCTTTAACATAACTTCATTCATAACTTCTAGCAATGGAAAATTCAATGATTCTTGTAATGTTTTGTAAAATTCTGCCGGAAGTCCATCTGGGCCTGGTGCCTTTCCATTATTTTGTTTCTTAAGTGCTTCAGTTAACTCCATCATCGTTATATTGCTTTCTAACATTGTTTCAATCTCTTTAGGTATCGGGGGTAAATTAGCATTCTGTAAATACTGTTTAACTCTTTCCTCATCAATATTCTCTTGTGTGTATAGTTTCCCATAATAATCTGGAATAATTTCCTTCTTCTCTTTACTACCATAGCAAACTTGGCCTTGGTCATCTATTAATTGCAATATTTTCCTTGATTCTTTCTCCTTTCTCAATTTATATGCTAACCATCTACCTGGTTTATTTGCATCTTCAAAATAGTTCTGTTTGGCACCTCTAATTTTTTGTGCTAATTCTTCTTTTTCTATTAGAAAAATAGAATGTTTGGTTATATCCATTTTTAACTTGTCCTTTCTCTGTGGCATTTTCTGTAGGTCTTTTTCAAGCCTTTATACTCATCTTCTAATGCCTTAGAGGCTAATCTTTTCATGGTATTTCTTTTCCTTGTGTAGTCTATTATCAAGCCTCTGGCATATGCCTTCATTGTATTCTGCATTGATGTATCTTCTTTTTTGTTTTCTCCAAAGAAAAAGGCCAATTCTTTCTCCATCCACTGTGTGAAGTCTTTTCCTTTTAAAATAGTATTATTTAACGTCCATCTAGATCTTCTTCTTTGTCCTTTCCATTTAATTGTCATTGGATTGTGATCTGCCCAAGTACTTGTTTCAATATTTATTTCTTGAATATTAGTTAACAATTCTGTTGACATCCATATCATATCTATTCTGGACCACGATAAGTGTCTATTTGAGTAGAAGGTGTATTGTTTAGTTTTAGCATTTCTTTCTCTCCATGTATCTTTTAAGTTTATTTCATCTACCATTTTAAAAAGAGATTTAGGGAGAGTCTTTCTATTTTGCTTTATTGTTTTCTGTGTTGTGTAGTCCAGTTTATTGTCTACAATTCCATTAAAATCTCCCATCATAACTATATTAACATAGTCCAGTTCAACTATTTTCATATGTAATTTTTTATAGAATTCTTCTTGATTGTCATTCGGGGCATAGATTGCAATCAGGAGTGTTTTCGTATTATTGTCTATTATTTCCACCATTAATATTCTTCCATCGTCATCAGTATAAATCAATTTCGCTGAGATGGTCTCTTTAATATATAAAACCACTCCTCTTTTCTTACATTGTGTCAAGGAAGTGAATATTTTCCCTAATTTTGGCTGTATCAACAATTGTTCATATTGTTTTTTAATATGTACTTCTTGTAGGCAGATTATATCAAATTTTAATTTCTCTAATTTATGAAAGATTTTCCTTCTTTTAACGGCTGAGTTAAGTCCATTTATATTAATTGTAATCAATTTTTTCTCTTCCATGGTTATATTTTGTAATTAGGTTTAACAGCTGTCGTGGATCTTGGTTCACGTTGTTCTTTGGCTTCCTCCTTTCCACCTACTGCACCTTCTTCTTTTTCAGTCGTCATTTGGGAGTCCTCTTGGAATTCAATTAGTTAAATTTCTTTTTCTGCCTCTTCCTCCCCTCTGAAAAATTCTGTGTAAAATGGTTCAGCTTTCTCAATTGAATCAATTCTATATCTCTGTTCTTGCCATGTAAACATTAAACCTTCTGGAATCATCCATCTATAATTCACCTCTTTTTTAAGTAACAATTTGGTCAAGAATCGGTATTCTCTTCTCATCTCTCTCACTCTTCTGGGTACTTGTTTCAAGACCACAATCTCCTTATCTTTGTATTTCAATGTTTTCTCTCTTGCCACTTGCAATATTTGCGTTTTAATGGTTTTCTTTGTAAATCTGATATGAACTTCTCTTGGTAAGCTATTTCTCATCGCATATCTTGTGAAGACTCGATAAACCTCATCTATTCCATCCATCATCTTCTCTTCACTTATTTCCAAAGCTTCAGCCAATATTTCTATCATTATCTCAGCTAGATTTTGTCCTTTTTCTTCCTCTATGTTTTGGAATCTCAGATAAAATTCTGATCTGTCCATCTCCCATCTCAGCATGCCACTTTTATCTTGTTCAACCACAGTTAATCTGTTATCAATGTCTCCAGTCTTCTTGTCTCTTTGTTTATCTTCTTCAATTTTTTGGAGTCTCTCATCATACTTCATCATCATTTGTTGGATGTTCTCCACTTTTTCCTCGGTTTTCCCTGTTCTTTGTTCAATATTCTCTGTTCTTTGTTCAATGTTCTCTATTCTCTTTTCAATATTCTCTGATCTTGTTTGAATATTTTGAATTCCTTGCATAATCATCTGCAGGGTCACTTTTTCTTGTTCTTTTTCTTGCCTTAATATTGTCTGTATTGAACGTTGTCCTCCAGATGGTGGAGACGAAGAAGTGGAAGTTGAAGAACCAGGAGCTGTTAATTTCCTACTCATTTTGAGGAGTTCAAAATCTTCAGGTTCTTCTAATAATAAAAAAGAGATAATAAAAGAATAAAGAATTTTAAAAAAGTAGCCTAGAAGTGGAAAGAGTAAACTGTTTAACAAATAAAATTACATAATAGATGTGATCTTTGTAATTTTTTTTTGTTAGTTGTAAAGTTGTGTCCGACCCATCGCGACCCCATGGACATCATTCCTCTCTAGGCCTTCCTGTCCTCTATCATCCCCGGGAGTCTATTTAAGCTCAAGCCAACTGCTCCATCCAGCCACCTCATTCTCTTGTCATCTCCCATTCTTTTGCCCTCAATCGTTCCCAGCAGGTCATAAGTCACTTTTTTTCAGCACCATATTAACTTTGAACAGTTATTAAACAAATGTTTCTAAGTTGAGGACTATCTTTATTTTGGGATGATATCCTATAAATCTATAGTAATATGTAACACTATCTTTGCATTCTTTTATTAATAACGTATCTTTATTTTTGACATATAGGAAATTAAAATTCAATATGATTATTTTTCTCAGCAGAGATAAGGCAGAAAACATTTGCAGTAAATAGTGTGTCACTTAAAGTAAATGTAGGTTTGCGGAAATGTAAATCTATTTTGTTTGGAAGTTGTATTGTGGACTCTTTAATTATGATAGCCTTCTTAATAGCCTTTAAGTTATTGTCCTAGATCCCTCCAGCAACATGTTTTATGGTCTGTAACTGATTTATTTTTACATTCAACATAAATAAGGTTTTAGAACCTACAGTATCTTGTAAATTTTGGCTAAGTTGAGCCAGGACAATTGTAATAGATAGAGGTGGGCCACTTAATAATTTTCCAGCAAGACAAAACAAAAGTTCTGGTATGCGTCTACCTTCTTTTAGTTCATTGTATGAATTTGTTATGAATGTCTTAGATCAAGGGGAATGGAACAGTTTATTTTAATTTAACACCATAGCTGATGATTTTATTTTCCTCTATGAAAGGAGTAAGCATGGAAAGATTTGCAGAAGAAGCTGATGTTGTTATAGTTGGAGCAGGTCCTGCAGGACTTTCTGCAGCTATTCGACTCAAGCAGCTGGCGAGCGAGCACGGCAAAGAAATCCGCGTATGCTTGGTGGAGAAGGCTGCTCAGATTGGTGCACATACCCTGTCTGGAGCTTGTCTGGAGCCTCGTGCTTTGGAAGAACTTTTTCCAGATTGGAAAGAACGAGGAGTAAGTTCCCCTGTTCTAATTCATCTCTACTTAATATTATTTACAACAGTGGCCCCCAACCTTTTTTGTACCACGGCCCGGTACCGGCATCACTAAATGATCCACGGACCGGTACAGGCATCAGCACGCACGACCAAGGCAAGGCGAACCGAGCGACCGGCCAGCCAGCCGTCCCCCGATTCTCCCCGCCACCTTCAACTCCTCCTTTGTACCTTTTTTGTGCTTTTCGGGCTCTTTCTTAATCTCCTCCTGAGTAATGCGAGACTCCACCACCATCGGGACGGCTCTTGGTTCGAAGCCGCCCCTCCCTTTGACAAAACTAAGGCGCGAGGATTCCTTCAGCACCCAAACGCCGCTTTCCAACAACCGATGACCAACAAGCTCACCCGGAAGCACTTTCTCAAGCGCCGTCGAAACAAGATGGCAGCGCCCAAGCAAACCAGTCGTGCCTTGGTCGTGCATGCTGATAGCGGTAGAAAATGATCCACGGACCGGTACCGGTCCGGGGCCCGGTGGTTGGGCACCACTGATTTACAAAACAGATTAATGATTTGAGGGTTAATTATTAGATGAATATATTTTGAATACTAAGAATAAACATTTGAGAACAATAATCATCAGTGCAATTAAAAAAACAATTTTTTTTTTAGCTAACTGCCTTCAGTAGTAGATATTTAGTGGTGGAATAAAAATGACTTTTTAGTTTAATACCCTCCTGTTTGTTCATACAGGAGGTGCATTTTTATATTCTGTAACTTTTTATTTTAAATAGAATATGAAATATTCCAATTTAAAGGATATCTATAACGATCAAAATATTTAAATGATTTTTAAAGAAGTTGGATGTTTCTTCATTAAAACCATGATATTTCTTTTATTTTCCTTAGGCTCCACTACATACTTCTGTAACAGAAGACAGATTTGGAATCTTAACAAAGAACTATAGAATTCCAGTTCCCATTCTTCCAGGTAGTGTTGAATAAGAAACTATTTTAACACAAATTGCCCTTTTGAATTGGGATGAAAAATATTCACCCGAATTCTTCCTTTACTCAAGAAAATAGTACAGCTAGTCCTGGACTTATAACCATAACTGAGCCCAAAATTTCTGTTGCCAAGTAAGACATTTGTTAAGTGACTTTTGCCCTATTTTATCAGCTTTCTTGCCACAGTTATTAAGTGAATCACTGCAGTTATTAAGTTACTAACACAGTTGTTCAGTGAATCTGGCTTTCCAATTGACTTTGTTAATCAGAAGTTGCAAAAGGTGATCACGTGACTCTAGGACACTGCAACTGTCCACAATTATGAGTCATTTGCAAAGCATCTGAATTTTGGTCATGTGATGATGGGGCTGCTGCAACAGAAGTGCGAAAAATGGTCATAAGTCACTTATTTCAGTGCTATTGTAAGTTTGAATAGTCACTAAATAAACTGTTGTAAGTCGAGGACTACCTGTAATGTGTTTGTATTGACGGAGTGTTGTATTACTGTATTTATAAAACACTAATGAAGACAATCTCTTCATTCAATTTATTTGACATCTCTAGCATATCAGAATTTTTCTCAGGTGACAAGGTGGATGTTTTTTTCAACATAAATATGTCAGAGCAGAGAGTTTGCTACAGGTAGTGCTTGCTTACCAATGGTAGTTGGAATTGGGAACTTCATCATCAAGTGAAGTAAATGCAAAATCATATGACTGAGCTGACTTAAGAACAGCAGTTCTGGCCAATCCCAGTTAACACTGGGTAAACCCCAGGTAGCTGCAGAATCCCTCGGTCACATGTTCGCCATTTGCAACCTTCTGCGGCTTCCCCAGTGTCCCATGTTACAAGACAGTGCAACATTGTAATTACGAGCTGTGTGCCAAGTGCCCTCACGTGACTGCAAGGGGTGACAACACCTGCAATTACAAGAACTAGCTGTAAGTACCTCTCATTCAGTGCAGTCATTATTTCAAATGATGGCTGAATGAGTGGTTCTTAAATGAGGTCTGCCTAGAATACTTTTGCCTGACTAGGCACGCCCGCCCCTAACTACCTCAATTACAACTACAGCTGGCCTTAAATGCAAGCTACTCAATGCAAGAAGCCTTCTGAATAAAATACCTGAATTCCTCCTCTTACTAAATTTGTGACATCATATTTGTCTGTGAAACATGGCTCAATGCATCTCTCCCTGACTCCATTACCACAGTAAGAGACTATCATGTTTACCGATCAGATCGTGAAATTCGTAGAGGAGGTGGTGTTGCTATCTTCTATAAAAAGTCCCTACATTTAAAAAACATCCAAGTCACTCAGGAGCTTGCTGTTCTTGAGACCATCGTCTGTGAACTGTCCTTAAATATGACATTTCGATTCTTGCTATGTTACAGAGCACCTGATTATGACATAGAACATGTAAACAACCGAAATTTATTACTAACATGGGCAACATCCTGCCCACACGCTTTTATCTTTCTTGGTGACTTCAATCTGCCTCATATTAACTGGACACTAAACGAATGTAATACTGAACCCATACATGCAACCTTCTACAATGCTGTAACAAATCTAGGACTGGAACAACTAGTAACCAACAATACTAGACTTAACAACTGCCTCGATCTCATCTTCTGCAATAATTTGAACTCAATTTACGGAATACAAATTAAAGAACCTTTTCCAACAGCAACCACAACATGATTGACTTTTGTCTCAACATATGTCCGCACAAAAATCATCACAACGTGATCCCCAATTATAACTTCAAAAAAGGCACCTATGATCTTATAGACAACGATCTCTCATCCCTCGATTGGCAATCTCTATTCACTGGATGCAATACTATTGAAGACCATTACAACATATTTTTACTTGAAGTCCAAAGAGTCATCAAACTATATGTACCAATAACAACTCCCAAAACCAGAAAAAAACAGATTACCCAAAACAATAAGGAAACTTCAATCCAAAAAAAGATCACTTTGGCGGAAAAACAAATCTGGTCACATTGCCAACTTCAAAAGCCGATACAAAAATTTATGCTACCAGATAAAGACTGAATGCACCAATTATCATATTAAACAAGAGGAAAACCTTCTATGCACCAATTCCACCCACGCTATTTTACAACTTTGTAAACAACAAACTAAAAGACTCAAGGTCCATCCCACCCCTGAAAGGACCTAATGGTAAAGACTGCAATGACGACAGCATTAAAGCCAACATCTTTAACACATTCTTCGGCTCAGTATTTGTAAACAGCAATGGATCATGCCCAGTATTTCCTAGCCGTACCACAGATAACAACAATGATCTAATACATATCGATTTTACAGAAGACAATGTTGAAAAAGCACTACGCAATCTAAAACCATCTCTATCTATTGGACTGGATGGAATATGTGCCTACTTCTTTAAAAAGCTATCCACTGCCATAGCTGAACCTCTCAGCATAATCTTTGGAAACCAGCTCCTTGCCAAACCTATGGTCACAACTCACGGTCATCCCCATCTTCAAAAAGGGAGACCCCAGTCTAGTTGAATATTACAGACCAATCTCTTTATGCTGCATCACCTGTAAAGTCATGGAATCAATTATTAATCCATTATCCTCCACTTAGAGACAAACAACCTACTCTCTAATAAACAATTTGGTTTCAGGAAAAAAACTATCCTGTAATCTGCAACTCTTACACTGTAAAAACATGGACTACACAACTCGATCAGGGCAAAGCAATAGACGCAATCTACATAGACTTCTGTAAAGCCTTTGATTCAGTGGTACATGACAAACTACTCCTAATACTAAAATCTTATGGTATCTCTGGACAACTCCACAACTGGATAGAAGCATTCCTGTCAAACAGACAACAAATGGTCAAAATTGGGAACATCTTATCAAATTCTGTACCTGTCAACAGTGGAGTCCACCAAGGCAGTGTTCTAGGACCAACTCTCTTCATACTCTACATAAATGACCTCTGCGATCATATTAAAAGCAACTGTGTTCTCTTTGCCGACGATGTAAAGCTATTCAACACCACAGACAATACTGCTACCCTTCAAAAAGACCTCGACTATGTATCAGAATGATCAAACAAATGGCAACTTCAAATCTCAACAAATAAATGCTCTGTCTTACATATTGGCAAAAAAAATCAGAAAATAAAATACAAGCTGAATAGTCAAGACCTTGTTGATGATCCAAACTCTGTCAAGGGTCTTGGAGTACTCATCTCTAATGATCTAAGTGCTAGAGCCCACTGTAACTACATAGCCAAAAAGGCATTAAGAGTTGTTAACCTAATCTTATGTAGCTTTTTCTCTGGTAATATCACAGTACTAACTAGGGCATACAAAACATTTGCCAGACCAATACTCGAATACAGCTCATCAGTCTGGAACCCACATTACGTATCTGATATTAGCACAGTTGAGAAAGTCCAGAAATATTTCACAAGAGTTCTACACTCCTCTACTCGTTGTAGAATACCTTATGCCACCAGACTTGAAATACTAGACCTAGCAAACCTTGAATTACGCCGTCTTCAGTCTGATCTAAGTATAGTATATAAAATCATACATTGCAATGTCCTACCTGCAAATGAATACTTCAGCTTCAATCATAACAATACAAGAGCACACAATAGATACAAACTCAAGGTTAATCGCACCAAACTTGATTGCAGGAAATACGACTTCAGCAACAGAGTGGTCAATGTCTGGAATACTCTACCTGACTCTGTAGTTTCTTCCCCAAACCCCAAAAACTTTAACCTTAGACTTTCTACTATAGACCTCACCCCTTTCCTAAGAGGTCTGTAGGGGGTGTGCATAAGTGCACCAAAGTGCCTACCGTCCCTGTCCTATTGTTTCTTTTATTTTTCTTATATGTACTCATTTCTTGTATTCATAATTATGTTTATCCTTATACCTATTATCTTGTAAGTGATTGACAAATCAAATAAATAAATAAAATAAAAAACTAATGCACATGGCTGTTTATTCAGTTGTATAATTAAACCATAAACAGTGATTACTTGTCATCTCAAATTCAATGGCAAAAGCTAAATTTTAAACTAATATGCTATTAAGTTAAATAATAAAAGCATTTCCAATGTATTTTTTTCTTAACTAGGCCTTCCGATGGTTAATCATGGGAATTTCATAGTTCGTCTAGGACATTTTGTGAACTGGTTGGGTGAACAAGCAGAAGCACTTGGTGTTGAAATCTATCCAGGCTATGCTGCAGCTGAGGTAATAACATATTTTATATACAAATATTAACTTTCTTGAACTTGCAGTACATTTCATATACTATCTGAAATAAATCAGTATTTTGTATATTTGAAGAATAAAGAGTCCTGCTGAATCTTAGCAAATCAACAATTATAGTTATAATTATGTTGAAATTATATGTATTTGACATTATTATAGGTTCTTTTCAATGAGGATGGAAGCGTGAAAGGAATTGCCACAAATGATGTTGGCATCCAAAAAGATGGTGCACCTAAGGTAAATGTTAAATTTCTTATTAACACTTTTATTGTAACACATGTGCTTGATATTATTTGACCTGTAAAAAGTAATTGTTATTGTCTAAACAGGCATAAAATAAAGCTGGACTTAAGATTGTCAAAAAATAATAATAATAGGGTTTACAAATTGGAGACTGGACTGTGCTGGAATATTGAGGTTCGAAAAACCCTAAATAAAAAAATAGGGGGAAACGGTGAAGACTTTGTATAATGGAGAGTGCCACCTTTTGACAAAAACTTGAGCTCAAACAAGGGAAAGCATCCTGTTTCTGAATGAACTTGTGTGGCTATAACATTAAAGAAATATTGAAACAAAGTAAGAATCTTAGAAAGTGAAAGCAGAACCAGAATAAAGAAAAAAGCAAGGAAAGACTGTGGGATTGATTGATGTTTTTGGTATAGACCCTGGGCTGGAATAACTGAGAACTTTAGAAAATTGAAAGAAGAAAGAAGGAAAGTAAAAGTGGTTTTTTTGTGGACTTTAATGATCATAAAATATAAGAGTGTGTAATGATGATATCTCTTCGGGAATTAAAAATGGAACTTAAAAATATGAGAGAATTACTACAGGAAAGAGGCGAATCACTTTGCTCTGTGTTAGAAAAAATGGAAATGGCGATTGAAGAACAAGAAGAAAGAGCTTCAGAGGAGGAGGAGTCGACTCAAGGAGAAGACATCTTAAATAGACAATTAACACAAAGAACACTACAAAGAACTGGGGAAAGAAGGAAGGCTAAAAAGTTGAGATTTAAGACGGCAATAAAAAGGGGGAATACCTGTGAAGTCGGGAAAGGCAGAAAGACCCAGCAGAAAAGGGGAAAGGAAGATATTAAGAAAAAGAGGGATATAAACTGGAATGAGAAAAGATATGGGGAAAAGAGGGGGAGGAGAAGCAGTAAGAAACAGGTGCATGAAATAAAGAAATATGGAAATAGTAAAATGTTGAAAAGAAATGGTTTTTTCAGAGATAATGGTTGATGAATTAAAAAGGGGATTCTGCAGGGTGACAAGGGGTAATAATATTTCTGCAATTAAAAATATTTAGAAAATAGGGTAATATAGATACTGATAACTCTTATTAAAAATCAAGCGGGGAAAAAATGCTGCGGAATCCAAATGAAAAGATGTAATGATTATTATTGTAACTTCTTAAAAATAATGATTTATTGGGAATCAAGATGAGGGAATAAAGGTATATTTTAATCATTGAGGTGTCACACTCAAAACAGTAAAAGGGGGAAACCTATACTTGTCTGGTTTTTTTTAGTGTTAACATTTGTATTAATCTAGAATTTATAAAAAGAATGTGTAATGGAATATGACAGACTAAAGAACCAACTAAATTAATAAGTTAATATAGACTATTAAAAGCAAGGAGAGACATTGGTAACTTTTATTATTATTATTATTATTATTATTATTATTATTATTATTATTATTATTATTATTGTTGTTGTTGTTGTTGTTGTTGTTGTTGTTGTTATTGTTATTAGGCAAACGCATGTTTATCTTTATTTTTAAAATAAATATTAAAGGATTATATTTGAAATAATTTAAATGAAACAAAAAGATGTTTCGATTGAGATTAATGAAAGAGGCTAGAATTAATGTGTTTGTTTCTCTCCTTACTGAAAATTTGGAATGGAAAAGGTAATAATAGAATTAAGTATGCATATATGAATGTATAATTGCTGTCATATTTGTATGTAAAGGTGATGACCCGGAAATATGTTGTCCACTAAAAAGAGATTTTTGTTTTTAATGTGAAAAACTGAATAAAATTTGTTTTAAAAAAAGTAATTGTTATTGTAAAAAGTTATTTGAACATTTTAAAGATTAATACAAAGCTTGTAGAGCAGCTTTAGGCCTTTTAATTTAATATTGGCTTTAAAACATGACAATAAATATCAAGTGCCAGACTTAAGATCAGCGAAGTCACTGCTGATTTTTTGCGTTTGTTATTTTAGGATATCCATTTGATGCGCCCAAAATACAAACTTCAAGTCAGCCCATTAATTCATAAAATACTTTAATTATTATTGAGTGGGTGTTTCAGAACCATTTCATTCTGATTCTGATCATCCACAAACTTCCCGCAATGACTGATTTCTCTGGAGCAATATGGAAAATTGTCTGTGACACAAAGAAAACATGTCACACAGATGCGTACCTATGATTATACATAAAATTAAAATGTATATTATATAATATTATATGTTGTATTCTTATAGGGTACTTTTGAGAGAGGTTTAGAGTTACATGCCAAAATTACAATGTTTGCAGAAGGTTGTCATGGTCATCTTGCAAAACAATTGTACAACAAGTATAATCTGAGGGAGAACTGTCAACCCCAGACTTATGGCATTGGACTTAAAGAGGTATGCTATATTATACACCTGTAACCATAATTCTTTTTCTATTCATCTTGCAGATGTTTAATACATAAGAAAGTATTTTTCTTTAGGTGAAACTGTTTAGTACTTTGTTAGTTTCAGGTGGTATTGCAATATATATATTAATAATATCCATATTGCCTATTTGCACATTTCCTACTTGCTCACTTGCACATTTACCAAATTCCTGTAATCTTATTTGATAGCTCAGTTATTCAGTCAGAATTATAAAGTGAATGTACGCTATTATCATTTCAAATACAAAACTTTTATTTAAAATTTTATAAAGCTTAAGATGTTATTTTTTTTGTTTCATTAATCTCAATTTTTCATTATGCAAAATTGTCAGTGATGTACTTTTCATTAGTATATTAGTATATTAGTATATATAGCGTATTATGAACCATAATTTTGATATTTTAGCTGTGGCTTATTGATGAAAATAAATGGAAACCAGGAAAAGTGGAGCACACCGTTGGTTGGCCTTTAGACAGACATACATATGGAGGATCATTTCTTTATCATCTAAATGAGGGTGAACCATTAGTTGCTGTTGGATTTGTAGTAAGTATTCTATATTTATTGTAAGTTGATGTCTAAATAAAACTAGTTTCTTTGAAAAATGAAGCAAGAGGTTCTACGTAAAAGCATTTAAAAGCATGTACACATCAGAAGTCTATGTTGCTGTAGCATGGCAAATAGAAATTGAGTCACTGTTACCATGATGATGTGATTAACACAACAAACTTAAGACACAATGTAGTATGAGTTTAGGTTTAGTTATTGTGATTTGTAAACCATGTCTTTGAACACATTATTTACTTTCCTAAGTTTTTCTTTCTTTTGGATATCATTTTGGATATACAGTACATATAACTATTTCAGTCCAGTTGACTTTCTTCTCAGAAATGTTATATTATAAAAATATAAAATATATTCGTCATAACCTATCTTGCAGTATTGAAATATTTTAAATTGAAAAAAACTTAAAATATGTTCTGCTAACATAGATTTTGAAAAGTGACCAGAAATACAAGGTTCAGCTTGTCCTTGAAATCAGCTGCCTATGGGTGATCCATCAAATCTGATTTTTAAAGGCTAGATTCATGGTCAATTATGCATCATGGGGTCATTATATATCAACTTGTATTAATTACCAAAATAATAGGTCAATGTGAGAATCACAAGAAATTATTCTATTTCTACAAAATGTATCTTTGCATCTCAAAGTGAGGTATACATATTCATCAATTAATACAAGGATGCGTTCAAGTAACTTTTGAGTGAAAACAAGTTTATTTTGGATTTTACTTGCATATCTATAGGTTGGTTTAGATTATCAAAATCCTTTTTTGAGCCCGTTTAAGGAATTTCAGAGGTGGAAGCATCACCCTAGTGTTCAACCTACCTTTGAAGGAGGAAAGAGGATTGGTTATGGTGCCCGAGCTCTTAATGAAGGGGGTTATCAGGTAATAGCAATATAAGGTTACTTTCTTGGATTTGGGTGGGGTGGGAAAACAAACTTGATATTACCGTGTTTCTCATATAATAAGGCCGGGTCTATTTTTTTGAGCCCCGAAAAAATGGCTAGGCCGTCTTTTCGGGGGTGACTTAATTCCCCCCCTTGCATCTTCGGGCGGGCGGGCAGCGATGGCTTGGATGTTGACCTCGGCATTGGTGGGGCACTTCATATTGGGGTCAATGCAGGCAGCACCATGTCCGGGTGTGCAACTAAAGTACTTCCTAACGACAAGCCCCCCCACCATTCCCCCCCATTTCGCATGTTTTAATATAGGCCTTAATTTGGGGGGAGGGGCTTAATTTCATTTCATGCCTATAAAACATGCTGGGACTTCCTATTGGGGGAGGCCGTATTGTTGGAGAAACGGTATATTAATTGATCAAGATGTTAATTGTTTAAATTGACATACAGAAAAAAGTAAACCATTGTTTTCAGATCCAAAAATGTTTATTATTATAAATGGATTGTTGCAACAGTCCTCTTAATAGCATGTTTTTTTTTCCATATTTAGTCCATACCCAAACTTTCCTTTCCTGGTGGGGTTCTTATTGGATGTAGCCCAGGTTTCATGAACGTTCCCAAGATTAAAGGTACACACACTGCTATGAAAAGTGGAATGCTGGCTTCAGAAGCCATTTTCAATCAACTAACCAATGAAAACCTCCAATCAAAAACAATAGGTAAGAGGGGGTAGGAGGAGAATATATGTACTTTTTGCCAATTCTCTACTTAACTAGTTTATTGCTTTAATCGTGTTCTAACAGCAGATATATAGAATTTAGGCAGAGCACTTAAAAGCAAATACATTCAGATAAGGTGAAAAAGTACACCACATGTAAGGTTTTTTTCCTTTCAAACATATGTGAGCACACCAATATTTTCAAGGCCCGGGGCTTTTGAATGCTGCTGCTTAATGCCACAATAAAGTCCACAATAAAGTCATGATCACCTTCTATTTGACTGTGGATGAGAGGGCTGATCCAGCATGTAACATTGAACCCTGCCTGGAGCCAGAGAAGGAGATGTGTCCATCTATGTTTCATGTGTGGCATCAACCGAAGTGAGAGGGTAGCGGTGGTTGTGGTGGCCGTTGTCATCGAAATGTTTGGGAAGGTTATTAGGTGTGAAATCCCATTTGTTCAGTTGAACTCTAGGGTTCATTTGGGACTGCTGTACTGTACCAGCCTTTATGCTGTGTAGTGCTCTTCCCTGCTCCTTGACTCCATGAGTTGACAGTGAAGTTCTGCAGAATGACAGACCTGGGGGGGGACTTCAGTCTGCCTTTTTTAGACAGGTAGCTCGAGTTCTTGCATCATACCATAGTTATGATCCTGTCCCAGGTTACATTAGCATAATCCTAATCATTTTCCGATGTCTGCGTTAAGTTGAAATTTACATTTCCCCAGAGTAAAAATAGTTTTAATATGAAAAAGTTGATTTCTATTAAAAAGAAAAACTACAGTGCTAAGGGTTTTTTTAGAAAAAATAATAATTGCAAAGCCTTTTAGTAATTAGTTTTTATTCTTAGGCCTTCATGTTCCTGAATATGAAGAAAATCTGAAAAAATCATGGGTGTGGAAAGAGCTTTATGGAGTCAGGAATATTCGCCCCTCCTGTCATGGAATCTTGGGTGTATATGGAGGAATGATTTACACTGGTATTTTCTATTGGGTACTAAGAGGATTTGAACCTTGGACCCTAAAGCATGGAGGTAAATTTATAAAAGCTTTGCTTTGTTTTTGACATACAAATTGATAACTTCTTTCAAAATGAGTTTTAAAAAAAACTAATGAATTCTGCTCATAAGTGTTTGGTTTTGATCATTGTGTTCCGTATAGTCTATGATTTTATAAACCATTTATGATTCATAAACAAGGCATAAAGTATTAGAAACATGGTGTGATGACCCAGGGTGGGATACATAATAAACAGTCACAAGAACAGGTGAAGCCCCTTTTATTCCTTCACTTTGCTTCAAAACTCCAAATATCCTTGACTGGAGACAAAAAACTCCCCCACAAGCAGTTACGAAAAGGAGGAAATGCCGTTTAAACTAAAAATGCCTATAAATTATAAAGAGTAAAAACAATACAAACCACACTGAAGCAATTAAGGGAACTAGGCAAGATAAGGGCTTGAAGACGTCCACAGATATGGGAACACACACTGGGAAGGATGCCAAACTCAAGAGAGGAACGACAAACTAGAGATATTTCCCCACTTTGTTTCCAGCACTGGCCCATTCGCATGTCTGTCCTTTTAACCAGTTCTCACAGTTGCAGCCCATGAAAAGGATCAAGGCTCTTTCCTCTCCCGTAGACCATGCCATTCACGTCTCTCCCTTATCCTCTCCTCCCTGGGTGCCCTAGGATGGACGGGATGGGCCTGGGTCCTCCTCTGATTGCTCAGCTGGCCTCTGCCCTTCCCCAGCCTCCTCCACAACCTCCAGAGCCACACTCCCACTCCCTGTCGGCTGTTCCTCCTCTCCCTCGGAGTCAGTCTCCACCGGGCATGACACATGGTGTCTGTGTATTTCTTCTAGTGCAATGACTGGCAATTATTGATAAATCTCCCTTTCGTGAACTTTGTCTAGTTATATCTAGAAAGACATGAAATAATCATACTATGTGATGAAAAGTATTTGCATAAATAGAACCTGGATATTTTAATTTGGCAGATGTTTTAATTATTATGTTTACCATGACATGCAAAGGCAGCCAATGCTATACATAATTTAAAAATCTGTGTATAACATCTGACAAAGAATGAGTTCCAAGTTTTTTTTTCCTATGTGATTATGCACGGGAGGGTAGAGAACATAAACATTTGTCCATGATTACTGTGACTAAAATCAAGCTGTCTTGACTTTTTAAATGTACTATGAAAAAAGATGCTAGAAGAAAGCTAACAGCCTGTTGTTTAAATGACTGTTCTGGGTATAACTAGGGCAGCCTGTTTCTACAGTTACGTGCCATATAAATGTTCCAAATGTTGTTCTGTAAAAGGAAAAATACTTCTAAATTGTTTAGTTTTATGAATATCTAGTCCTGTTTTCTAAATGCAACTCTCCAACTTCTCATAGGAAGTCTCCCCCCCCCCCCAAAAAAAAATTGTCATTCCTTATTAATTGTCATTTCTTATGTGTGCCTTACTGTAATGGTAATGTGATTTAGGCAAAGAGATACTCCCTAGGAACAACTGTTGGGTAGGTCAAGAGGCTCAGAAGATCCGCCCTGGCTTCTCTAGCTATAAAGGAGATGGCAGAGTAGGATTTTCAGAAGTTCAAGATTCTGCTAATGTAGCTTTACAATAAACTACAATTAGCTTAGCCGGTCCTGTTTCCAGTCTGGTCTATCTATTAAAGCTGACAACATTCTTGCAACTTCATTAGCATCTTAGTATGGAAAACTGAGCCACGTTTGTGGTAATTAAAAAGATATTGGTTTATGCATTTGATTTTTTTTAGCCCAATGCAATTGAAAAGTGTTTTCCCCTAATGCAAAATCTCTTTTTATTATCCAATATAAAAAGTAGTTATATCAAATTGTTAAAATTATTCTTTATAGTGTAGAATATCTCAAGAATGCCAAGTGTTCAAAGACAACAAAGCTATTTTAAAATGGCATTTCTTTCAGGTCACTAAATGCTTTTTTATACTGTCACTAATGTGTACTAAATTTTTTCAGTTCTTTTTATCAGTTTTTTCCCTATGTTGTTATTTCAGGAACAGATGCAAAACAGCTAAAGCCAGCCAAAGATTGTACACCTATTGAATATCCAAAACCCGATGGAAAAGTCAGTTTTGATTTGCTTTCATCAGTAGCTTTGAGTGGTACAAATCATGAACACGACCAGCCTCCTCATTTAACTTTGAAAGATGATAGTATTCCTGTCAACCATAACCTAGCTATATTTGATGGACCTGAGCAGCGATTTTGCCCAGCAGGTAACTTGCAATTTTGGGAGAAGCAAACAATTTAAACAGACTTCACTCTTCTTTCTAATTGTCCTGACAAATAATTAATGTGATTTTTTCTCTCATTTATTTGAGTTCTATTGTCTCTTGAACTAAAATTAAAATTCTATTTTACAGGAGTTTATGAATTTGTTCCTGTGGAAAGCGGAGAAGGATTACGATTACAGATAAATGCTCAGAACTGTGTCCATTGTAAAACATGTGATATTAAAGATCCCAGCCAGAATATTAACTGGGTTGTACCGGAAGGTGGAGGAGGACCAGCTTATAACGGAATGTAGTTTTAATCCATTTTTTAAAAATATGTGGGCAATGCTACGAAATGACACAACTCGGGATTTGCTATTGTAAAAGTTATGTGCTCTAAGGGGCCCGTTCTCTATGAAGGCTAGAGTAATCTACAGGCCACATGTCCTCAGATCATGCTACAGCACTAAAGCTCAGCAGCAAAATGGATCTTGGACGCATGATCTTTAATCTTTCTCTCAAATATAAAAATGGATGTTCTATTTTAACCTTTTCTATAAATTAAAAAACCTATCCCCCACCTCAAAAAAATCGATGCAAAAAAAAATATCACTATTTAACTGGTGGCATTTATCATCAATGGGCACCTCTTAGATGTCAAAGTGTTTTAAAGTGTTAACTGTAACCAGGCTGAGTAAAATTGGACACATCGGTTTTGAGGTTAGTGTTCGGCAGCCTGAATGTGTTGGTGCCTTAATTAGTAAATAGACTAACTTTATTTGAATGTGTTTTTTTTTTCTATTCAGAGAATACCTGGTAAGACAAGAAGTTTGAATACATCCTGGTCTAATTTTATCCTGATTGTTCTATACATTGTAATACTAATAATGGATGTAATCCAGAATACAGGATATTTATAATATCTATAACTATTGTATTTCTCTTGATGGCCCAATTTCAGGGAAATACATCTTTCAAGACTAATCTAGAGAATATTTCAATTATTTTACAAAAACAATAGAACAACACTACCTCTGGTATGAATTCATTTTGTTATAATAAAATGTAATAAAGTATTCTCTATTTGAGTTAGAAATTCTGTTTATTTCCTCAACTTACAAATTACACTTTTGCAATCATCATGAAGGTTACTAGAAGAATTGAAGGGAGACAAATCATCTGGAACATGTAAAATGGAAGTTATGTCACTGAACAAAAGCTCTTTGCAGTATCATTCTGATGTTTTCTTTTGTAGTTTTTTATATTTTAAACTAATATTCAACCACATGTTGAATATTGAATATTCAACCACATGAATATTTTATGCTCAGCTTAACAAGTGTTTTAAAGTGTTATTTTAAAATCCAAAATGTAAATATGACAGTCTTGAAACACAATGGGTGTAAGCATGCTGCCATAATGACTCACATTAATCCTGCCTCTTTCTGCATAAAGAGAAAAACTGTATTCATGCAAACATTTTTGCATATGCTGCTCTCTCTTTTTCCTTCTCATTTTTTATTTTCTGCTTGACTTTCTGTACTTCCATCCGGATGGCTGCAGATGTAAAAAAAAAAAAAAAGATCACAATTTAGTGTCACTGCGAATGTGTACGTACAATATGGTGTTTTTTTTCATAAGCAATATACTAAGAATGCAAATATTCAGAAAATTGTGTTTCCTCAACCTTTATCTAAGTTAGTGTTGTGGCCCGCCAACTGCCAGCGGAGCAGGCGGCAAACTCGGACAGTGAGGAGGTTGGGGAGGAACGTGGGCCAATCCTGGAATCTGGGGAAGGCTCTGATGGGTGCTCTGTGCCAGAGGCAGGCGGGGGGGGGGGGGGGGCAAGGCTGCCCGACATTTATCCGTTGCCTTCAGAGTCGGAGAAAAGTGGGGAAGAACAACAGCTGGAGCCTGTTCCAGATGCGTGCATGCGCAGAGCTGCCAGGAAAAGGGAACAACTAAGGAACGGGTTGACTCGGAGGAAAAGGCAGAAGTGGACGCTGAATAGCCCCTCCCGTAGGGGACAAATAGGAGCAAAAGGGGAGGGGTGTTTGCGGAAGGCAATTAGTTGGCTTACTATTGTGAAGATTTGCTTATCTGCGTTCGTGCCTCAGAGACTCCGTGCCAAGTATTTCCTTTTACAACATTGCGACTGGAAGCTCTTGGCCTGGCAACTATTCAAGGACTGATAAGGTTTCTTTGTGCAATTAAACCTTGGGAGGCTATTTGCCAGAACTTTTCTGGGTGTGAATGTCAGGAATTCACATTAACCAAATTTAAAAAGGGGTTTTTTGGGGTGGGGGGTGGGGGGGAAGACGACAAAGAGTCTGTTTCGTGATTCTGTTCAGCCTGGGTCAGAACAGGCAGAGGTGTCAAACTCAATTTCATCGAGGGCCGCATCAGGGTTGTGTTTGCCCTTAGGGGGCCAGCGTGGGCATGGCCAGCCTGATGTCACTTGGGTCAGGGTGCCTGTGGAAGCCTGAGCGCTCTGCCAGAGAAAACTGGCTCATGAGCGGCGTTTCTGGCTGCAATGGCCTCCTGCAACTGTCTGCCAGCAAAAAGTGGAGTTCAGGAGGGCTTGCACATAGCCCTGCTGAGCTCCATTTTGCTGGCAGAGGCACCGCAGGCCGGTCCTTTGCTGTTTCTACCACACAGGCCAGATCTAAGCATCCCATGGGCCAGATCCAGTCCCTGGGCCTTGAGTTTGACACTCCTAGTCAAAGGAAAATATGTTTATAAATTGTGATTTAAACCAAAGATAAGATTTCCACACCGGGCTTAATTCAAAACCATACAAAGATGCATTGCTATTTACAGCCCACTCGCTATTTATAAACAGTTCAAAAAGCCACAGTGTAGGAGCAGGGAATAGCAAAGATAGTTCTGGATAGTCTAGCGTGCACATTCCATATCTTTTCCCTGACCTCTTACACCAATACTGTGATGCTGGTTTAAGTGTCTAAGAGGTTTTTAGTCATCAATAGCAATAGGCTGAAGACAATCTGGTATTGTTACCTTTATCCTGAGGTGCTATGTCTTGAGCCTTCTGAAGCTCAACCTGTAAAGTTAAAGAAATAATTAAGCAATATGTAAATGAGAGAGCCAATTTGGTATGATGATTAAAGTGTTGGCCTAGAAATGGTCAGACTGGGTTTTAATCCCACTTTAGGCATGAAAGGTGACTGCACCGGTCACTTTTTCTCAGCTTTGACCTACTTCACAGGCTTGTTCTGGGAAAAATAGGAGGAGGAAAGAGTATCAGGTATATTTTCTACCTTGAGTTACTTATAAAGTGATAAAAAAATCTAAAAATTATATTTATTGCAATATTAGTGAGAAAACTGTTGATGCTTACCAATGCTTTATCATAATCTTTCATTCCTTCCCAAGCTTGGGCCTTCCTATAAAGTGCTTTAGTATTTGTGGAATCTATAGCCAGAGCCTATAAAGTGAGAACATTAATTATAGTAAATCCATTTCTACCTAATAAAACTTGATTTAGATGTTTTATGTAAAAAATTAAATCAGGATTTAGGAAACTAAATTTTGTAGCAGTTCTGAAGTCTGGATTGTAATCCAATAGTCAATTGGATTCAATCAATTCAAACTAATGGAAAGTGAAGTTTAAAACACCTAGCTGTCTAAATTGCTAACATCCACCATCTGTACACTAAAACTCCAATTTTCTGGATGTCCATTAAACAAACTTGGATATGACAGACTAAATGGTAGACCCCATGATCACTGTTTCTGAAACAGCAATTTACATAATTGATGTAATTACATAATTGATGTTATTCTAACAACTATGTAGACTTATATGTGAATTTATGACATTTGGAATTAACAGATTCCCTTTTCCAAAAACAATCGAGTTTAATTGTTCTGGACATACTGTACATTTAACAGATCCTGGTTTAGTAGACTTGAGGCACAACAGACAAAATCTGTATACTGTACAGTAAGTCTTTGTTCAGATTTACATTCTTATTTGCTACTTTGTCCATGTATAAAATTTATAAAGCCCAATTCACATATTATACACGTGTAAACTTTCAACTGGATTTAATAAATATTCTGCATAAAAGATAATTTTTCTACCCTATCATTCCCTAAATTGAGGGTTTACTGTATTTGCATAAGTATTCTATGCTTATCTAGCCATTCATAAAACCCTGTTACTCTACACCATACACTGATCACTGGATACATAAATTTCTGAGAATACACTCTGCAACATTATTATACACTACACAGAATACCTAAGGAGATATCTATTGGTTATTTATATAGTTTTTTTTTTTACAAATAACATACTATAGGCAAATCTAAGATGATAATTTCTATTTTTAAATATGTAATGCAAACACTTGAATAAAATGCTGGGGTATTCAAAGAAAAAAACTGATTGGTACTATGAATATGACACACTTGTCAGGAGCTGCTCTAAACAACTGTATATATTCCTGGCCTTTGGCAGCAACAGTGATATAATACCAAGAAAAGATGGAACTGATTTGAAGAGGTGACTCCTATACGGTGGTATGGGCAGATGTGGATGCTCTGAAATACACTTCTGTGTAATTTTAATATGTTTTACCTTGATTTGCAATAAAACAGCCTTGATGCAAGTTGGATAGTGCCAAAATTTGGTAAATCATCTGGTAAATCTGGTAAATTTTAAGAGATGTGTGGCTTCATGGAAAGCTACAGAACTTACCTTATGGAAAAAAATATTTACCTTAGTACAGTTTTCAATTGCATCCTGCCACTCCAATGATTTCAATTTACATGCAGCAGTATTAAGATAACATGTCAATGCTACTGAATTCAGCTTTGAACTTCCTTCCTCTGCCACAGCTTTTGAAGCTTCAATGTACCTGTATAAAATAAGATGGGGATTTTACAGCACAGTAGTTCTCATTTAGCAACAACCTTGGATGTGACCATTCACACATACAACAGTAAGAAATGGTAGTAAAAAAAGTATGCATTTTCTGACCAACACTTACTTCTAAATTTCTGCACCTGACAATAACACATGACAATGAGATTAACACATGCACTGCTGCATGAGTCAATTTTATCTAAATAAAACAGCAGCAATCTTTACAGGGTGTGTGTGTGTGTGTGTGTGTGTGTGTGTGTGTGTGTGTTTATCTCTCTCTCATGACCATTTTGTCAGGATATATTGTGGTAGCCAAAAAAAGACTCCCTGTATAACTAATTTATCAACTAGCAATACTGAATAAATAATTTGCAAATTAAACCAGATTATAACTACTATAGATAGTCCTTGACTTACAACAGTTCATTTAGTGACCGAAGTTACAATGACACTGAAAAAAGTGACATGACTTTTCACACTTATGACCACTACAGCATTCCCATAGTCACATGATCAAAATTCAGACATTTGGCAACATTTGAGACCTTCTGACAAGCAAAATCAATGGGTGAGCCAGATTGACTTAACAACTGTATTAATAACAGTTATAAAGATTCTCTTTAACAACTGTGGAAAGAAAGGTCATAAAATGGGGCAATACTCAAATGTTTTGCTTAATTTTGTTCTCAATTTTGGTCATAAGTTGAAGACTACCTGTTAAACAACATGCTCGCACAACATCCTGTGCCATCCTGCTAGTAAATTACATGCAGTTTTATTTTAACCCACATCCTGCATTTCCCCAGTTGACAACTACAGTATAGTTAGCATAGTATGGAATGGCATTTGAAACCAGTAACTTTAAACATGAGCTCGTATTAACTGGGAATGTTTGGTACTCTAGATATGATACTTTACCAGAGGAAACTTATCAATTTTGATTAAAAAGCCATGCTACGTATGGATGAAACAGTATTATGTATATTCACATTAACCAATTGCAGTTGGAGTTTGGGCAAGCGTGACCTGATTAAGTCAAATATCACTTAAGCAAATCCTTAAGATGATTTAAATAGGACCTAAATTTAAACAATTTGGTCTTGATTAAACTAGTTGTCTTTTCCCATTCCTCATCCCCATTTTATTGAATATAATGCATATAAGTTACATAAATGAAATAAGAGAACCTTGAAGTAAACTGGTTTTTTTTAAAAAAAATCTAGTAATCAAATATTGCAAAGTGCAAAGCAAGTATAGTAAAATTTTACAAACAAATGGGGCCTGGATTTGGGGGGAATGTCCTTGGACTCTTTTTTTTTAACCTCTTTTAAATCCTTCCAACAGTTTACACTCTTCTCACATTTTTGCAGAAAATAATACTGGTGTTGTTTTTTTTAAACAAATTTTATTAGTTTTTAAAGACAAACAAAACATAAAACATAA